CCACAACCCCCTCAGTTTGCTCGGCCCTCTGGACCCCATTCTCCAGCTCCTGCCGTTTCTCCGGCCGTTCACTGCTTCACTTGCCCCCGCTCCCGGCTCCGAGCGGCCTCGCCTCTCCTCCCTCAGCACCTCCAGCAGCCCCTTCATCTCACACCATCTTCTCCAGACGCTTTCATGTCTGGAAAATGCTCATCCCAACGCTCTCCTTGCTCTCAACTCTTGTCCCCGCAGAATTACAGCTTGTTACGATTTAAATCTGTTAATCCATAGTTTTTTTTGAGACTTGAATTTTCCAAATCAGACAGAAACCTCAGGCTATTTTCTTTGGTAGCTGTAGCCAAAAATCATCTAATCATTCTCATGGCTAACACTAAGACGGTCCTGAACAGGAAAATACTGCTTTAACCTTTTCCCCTTTCTTAAAATCTCAGATGACCTCACTGCTGACCCAGCACATTTAACATAGCCAGAGTACTTGGTTGTATGTTGCAGACCTGCTTCCTGCTATCCTTGGGAAAACTCAGCTACTTGGAATAATGTTCTCAAGCTTTTTTGGTTTTCCCCTTGAGCATGTCAGCAGTAGCGACTCTGTTTTCAGACCATATCTCTTCAAAGACTTGTAGCAGATAGTGTGGACAATTGCAGGAGAAGCAGTGTAATTATCCAATGTATTACAATGTTTGCAGATTCCAGGGCTTACACTGAAAGCCCTTTTGAGTAAGGATTGCTTCTCACTTTGTTGTCTAGCACCTACTGAGACCACAGTTTGATTCAAAGCTTGTAGTTATTACAAGTAACTATAGTATAAGGTAAGCAATGAAATAGTAACAAACTCATTTTAATTGATTAGAAAAAACATATAATGATTATTCAGTAATCAACAACAATATTCAATAACTTAGGATGTAATTCTACATACCACTTGCTCTTTGTTCAGAAAAGAATGACCTGCAATCTGGAACACAGTATTTAGTGATGCAGCTGTTACAATCTGCTTATAGTGGGGTGTCGTGATGGTTTGTTAGCCGATCCCAAAGTGCAAAAGACAAATAGCAGGGGACTATTAGTTGATTTGTTTAATCACAGCAAATGCACCTTTATTAGGGGCCAAAACAATAAATGCAATAGTGGGGCCAGAAAGGAAATAAAAATGATAGAGAGGGAGAGAGAGAGAAGAGGGGGATTGGAATAGCTACCAACACAGGCGAGGTCCTCACTGGTCCAGACGATGGGGATTCATCTGGTGTTGGGGAGAGTCTCCAAAGTCCTGCTCAACCCAGGGGTCCAGTTATAGTCCACAGAGGGAAAAAGGGGGGAACATGCAGAACAATGAGAGTCTATTGAAATTGCTGCGGGGGAACAGGTGAATCTACTGAAAATCATCCAGGCTGAACAAACACAATGAAGAATAAGTCCATTGAAGTTACTGGAGAAGAACAGGCCATGTCATTCTCCCCCCACATCCCTGTGGTAGGGGTCTCAGTCTCAGTCCTTGGGGAGAGGGTTCTTGATCTCTGTCTGTCACGGTGGTAATGAGGCAGATGAGGGGTCTGCAGTGAGAGACCACCAGAGTCACCCCAACAGTTCATTCGGCTTAAAGGTGGAGAGTGAAGCAGGAATTACAGCAGGCTGCCCTGTGCTGGGTCCATGCTGGCTCTTTACCAACTCCTTGCCAAGTCCTTGCCAACTCCTTGCCAAGTTCTTGCCAGGCCTCCTTGGGAACAGCTAATGTGATGATGCAGTGGCTGCACCTGCATGTTGGCTTCTCCGAGCCGGAACTGCAGCAGGGGGTTTTTCCTTCTCATGGCAATCAGCAGGCAAATGAGTGAGGGTCTTCAGATGGCCTCTTACAGCAGCACAGTGGTGATGCTGAGCCTATAAGAAATAAACAGCTCTATTGCAGTACTGAGTCACATCTAAACTTATTCCACATCAGTCCAAAGCCAAGATTATTTATTTAAGAATCTTTGGCACAGTAAGAGGTTTGCACCTTAACACTGCAATGTGAACATGAATATTTAATCTCCTAAGTCCTTGTCATACCACATTATTAATACATTCATCAGCAGTGATTTTAACAAAGGCCTTTGCTCTATTGAGGTTTGATACTTGTCCAAATGAAGCAGATTGTTTTCAGAGGTCACAAAGTTTAGCAAAGACCCACTTTCAGGTTTTGATGTCTAAATCAAGAACTATGGTAAAAATTTAAATTGAAAAGCTCTCACCCCTGCAGGAGCTTGGATTAGAATCACCTCCTGAGTACCCTTCCATCAAAAAACATGAGATAAAAGAACTGAAAAAATCAGATCATACAAAAATACAGTCTCTCTGAAATTTTATTTACACAATCACACAATCACGTTAAAATTTTCTATCAGTGTCAACCTGTTTGAGTCAGATAAACATAAACTGGACTTAGCACACAGTTCTTTGACACAAACTATTTAGTCAACTATGGGTCAAGAGTCACTGTGGTTCATATGGGAAACTGTATTTGTTAATACAATCCCTAAGAAATTAATGTAATTTATTTCCTACTCATCTTATTGATTTATCAATTGGACTATTAGTGCCAAATTAATGAATGGAGTGAAAAAACCTATGCAATCCAGAGCTGCGATTTCAGAGGTGCAGCAAAGAAGAAAATCAAATACAGAAAAATCACAAAATGGCGACTTGACAAGAAACATTTTCTCATGAATATGACAATAGAAAATTGAATAACTAATAAGTAACAGATGTCTGAAAGCTGCCTTTTCCCTTGAAATATATCCAGTGCTTTCAGTACCATTGGAAAAAGAGATTCAGTCATTTGACAGGAAAGCCAAGCATTTGTATGCTGGTCTACAGAAAATCAAATCTGATTCTCTCTTTCAAAACAGTACTACACTCTTTATCCACAGCATTTACTATTACAGCACATTCTTTCTTTCCTTTTGTTGCAAGCAGGTGATAAACGTCATTCTTGTTACACTTTCATGAAGTCATTGGAGAAGTCTGAAGGGAAGTTTGAGAAAAATAGAGGCATAATTATAGTACAGACAGAGGAAAAGCTGAAAACACCTGATGAGTCTTTTCAAACTTCAGCAATGAAATCTTAAGCGGGACAAACATTCCTGTAATTCCCAAATCCATTGTTGTCACACAATGCAATAAAATACCTTCTCATTAAAACTAAAACCATCAAAAAAATGGCAACAGTACTGAACTTGATAATAACTTTTCCCAGTGGGAAAGTTACATCTAAGCATGTAAACACTGACTCATCCTTTGAAGACTTAGTATGCTGCTGCTGCTGAAACTACTTCCAAGTTCACTTCAGTGTGATGTCAAATCAGACACAAACTGTTTACATTCTTTCACAATCCACTGAGCAGATGAGCTAAAAGCCAAATGAAGAGGAAAATGCAACCAGTGATTTATCTTAGTTCTGTTTGAACTGATTAATGCAAGAAATAATTATCTAGAGCTGGGACTTCGGACTTAGCAAGCATGTGACATAGGATGACATGCATGGTTGTCTATTCATAATTCCTTCATGCTGGAATATTAGTTCTGGCACACAGGTACTATTAAGTCTGATACAATAAGTAGAAAAATGCCAATTTCAAGGCAATGCTTGCCTATTCCCTGTATGTTTCCATATGTATGCCCTGACAGGAGAAAAGAGACAGAGAGGAGCAAAAAGGAATGCTGTGGTTAACAAACATGTCCCTTTAACTGATCACTTTGGTCATTAATTATCCCCACATCCTGTTGATGATGTTTGAGAGTTCTTATGTATGTGGGCAACTCAACATGACCATCTAAATTTTAGCAGAGTAGCCTCATTAAATGTTGTATATTGCTGTAGAAGCTTAAACATATATTCTTCATGTGTCAAAGGCAGGAATATTTAATTAAGGATCCTCTGACCTTGAACTCATGCAAACTCTCAGAAAGAGATGCAGCAGCAGAACAGAGAGCAATGGACAAGGTGCCCCAGAGCAATGGACAAGGTCCCCAGACTGCTTCCACACTAGAATCAAGAATGAGGAATCCCAAGGGAGAGTTCCAGAAATAGCTTCTTTGACTCCTAACAGTCTGCAAACCCCAAGTTTAGGTAGGGGTTCAGAATTTCTCTGACATGATTATCATTAGCCACAAACACACTTTCATTTTAACATGCTTGGTATCTGGGGTACACAATCCAAACAAGGTGTGGACCATGTTGCTAAGAGCCTGACTTACCGATTTCAGGTTTTACCTTCAAACCTTCACATTCTCTCATTATCAATGCACTAATACTGTTAACCCCTCACAATAAACCAGCACGAAGCACCTATTTCCATGGGATAAGTGCCTGCCAACTTCACGAACAGCCACACCTATAGCTCTGGCAAATTGCAGGTACTGCCCACCCACTAATAAGTGGTGACTGCTAATGTTGGCTTCCTACACTTCCTGCATCACCAGCACCCAGCCAACCCTCCCCAGAGGCTCCGGCCACCTGGAACCTCTCTGCACACAGGCCGGAGGAGAGGGGCAGAAGGACAAGCTGTAAGCTGCAGAGCTGCTGGGACACCAGCATGGGCTGCCTGGCTCTGCCAACACTGGACAGACTGCCAGGGAGCTGACAGAACGAACCCTTTGTGTGTGTGACCACAGCCTCACAACAGGCTAAAGCTCCAAAAGGGATTTTGTCACCGGAGCGCAGTATGTCATCCCATTTTCTGTGGAATATGTGTAATCCAAGAGGTGTTATGATACAGAGCCATGGTGAAGAATATCCAGCTATTAGATCAATGACTGATGAGCTGTGAGCCCAGGAATATCTGCCTTACAAGTTGTACTCTGCCTTTCTGCATTGGTAGACTTAGAAATCACTACAAGACTCCAAATTACACTGTCAGTGATATTGTCACAGCTCAGCTTGCAAAATGCAAAATCCATAGATTTTGTTTTTTGTATTTTCACACTTTACATACTAAAGTAATTGTTCTTGATATAGCATTTTCAAGGAAGATATATGCAATGGAAGACAAAATGTTGCTTAATTAATTTATTAGTTTTTAATTGTGTCATCATTCTTCAGTGCAGGCAAGCAGGAATTGTCAATGCAATGGTTCCAGCACAGGATGGGAGTAAGGCCCATTAGATCAGCTTGTCTTCATTCTGAAAATAAATCCCTGCAGCAAGTGTCTTACAGATCTCTACTTCTGCACTAACATTTTGCCATTTGGTGATACTGTGATTAAAGAAATAATTATCCTTTTCCCTGTTTTGGTCAGTTTCTTCGTTGTTCAAATCTACCGCTGAAACAGATTTTTATGTCCGGTCTTTCTGTCTTTCCTTGTCAATGATCAGAAAAAAAAATGAACAGGATTCTTTAGAGTGATAGGCTCTGATGGGGGAGAAATACACATTGAATAAGTGAAACATACTGTCAAGCAAATAACTGATCTGCTGCCTACCAAATCCTGCTCCAATCACATTACTCCAGGCATTGCTTCCAGCACCTTTTCTAACAAAGCCTCTTCTTCACAGGCATTATGCAGAAGAGTTTAATTAGTCTTTCTGCCTTTCATTATTCAGCAGCAGGTTTCATGAACATACACAGAACCAACAAGTTATGTGCATGTTAAGCCCTGACCAGAAGATATCCAGGCCAATCGCGTTTGGAAATGGAACCTAAATCTACAGTTGGCTCTTGCCTGTGCTGCCAAGTGGTAAGAAAAGCAAACAACTCTGAGTGAAAGAATGCAGATTTCTGTGAGCTGAAAATAAGCAAAGCTCTCCATAATGGTGTGATCTTCATTAAATCTGGGACATTTTATAGCTCAGGATGATGCAATGACACTGAGTTTAGCTATGAAAAAACCAAAAAGTTGCAAGATGTATTTGACAATCACTGTCTAAGAATGTTTCTCATTTCAGCTGTCCAGATGAATGGAAACAGCCAGTATTAGCTAATGTTTAAGATTCTTACTTGCCTAAACAGCTTTTACCAAATGGAAATCATCTTAACAATGTGAACTCATGCCTCCTTTGTACCTTTATTTTTTCTGTGTGAGAATTTAGGAAATGTCTACAGAAAAAGAACTGGTACAATCACGAAACAATTACTGTTAAAAGAAAAGGGGAATTTAGAACAATTAATTCTTACGTGGACATGATACTAAAGCCAAATAATAAAAAAATAATTTCTTCCAAAAAGTAATTCTTAATTGTCTGTGCAGAAAAAGTAAAGCACTCAATTGTTTAAACCTCAAAGCAGATAATAAAGTTGTGCCTTGTCACATGAATAATGGAACTGGTTAATACAGAGGAAAAGAGCTGTTGGATGTTTTATTTCTTTTGCTTTTGTACATTTCCAGCTCTCCCAATAGATGGCTGTAGTACTTATTTTGAAAACCAAGAATAAATACATTTTTATAAGATCCAATTACCACTGATATTTTTTTAGCTATGTATTTGCTGGATAATGTACTACACCCTTGAAAACCTTGTATTTACTGTTCAGTTAAATAACTTCCTGCTGCTATCCAGCTGTTACCATAGTGGTGACAGAGGCATTTCCTTTAATGTAGCTCGGACAAAGCCTTCAGAGCACTTCTTTATTCAGGCAGGAAGCACAGTAGGTGATTTAAGATTGTGCTGTGACATATCCTGCATTTGCAGGCATCATTCTTCCTTCTTTTCAACATTTTATTTTATTCCATTATTTAGAAAGGTAAATGTAAACCTGTTGAAACAACAGAAACACAAAACTGTCCTGGCTTTTAACAAGGTTCTCTGACTTATTGATACAAATCTGAGGATGCCCAGGATGCTTTTTCTAGCAAATAAAAGCCTCATGAAAAGATGAAGAATGAACTATAAAGGCTGTTTTACAGAACTAAAATATAAGTCTTATTTTTTAACCTAGGAATTCCTCCCAGTTCAGCTAACATCAAGTGCTACGGAGAAAGACATTTCACTATCTAGAGATGTCCACCACAAAAGCAAGGATAAGTCAGAACTGAATATGACTTTATAATCTGGAACAGACTACTCTGTGTCAAAAATACGTCATTCTGAGAAGGAATTGGTACATACTTATTTTAAAAATATTTTGCTTTGCCTACATTACTTTATGCAATACAAAATGCAATGTCTATGTTTTAGAGCTTATATGTCATATATAGAATCCATATTAATTAAGGAGAATGTATTTTATATAAATATTAAATGTTATGTTAAATAACCACTAAATGTTTTGTATAGTACTATAGAAATGCTGTGGAATCAAGACTCTTCTCAGAGTAGATTTTAAAACTGGTTCTGTCATGTGTATTTCT